GCATCCTTGTTCAAGGCGGGGCAGCGCGTGCTACGTTCCAATCTGATCCCGATTCTGATCCTTGATCCTGTCTTGCAGCTTTCGTCGCGTATTAAGTTACGATCTCTCTCACACTCACACTCACACTCACACTCACATCTTGGTTCACAACGGTTTGACCTTGCCATAATTATAGTCCTGACCCCGCCGCCGTCTGTCTCAACGGTTCTGACTCGATTCGAGGACTCGTCAGGCTCGCAAAGTCCTTTTCTCGAGAGCGAAGAGCAGCGACTTCCGCTCCGCCTCGAATGCAAAACAAAGGAACAGCAGTCGGAATGGTATATAAATGTAAGGAATCGCAGTCCCTGTGAGTCCTGTGAGTCCTCTGAGTCCTCCTCCTGGCCTGTCAATGAGACATTCACATACAATTGAAGTTGCAGAGGTTTACAAGATCGACGCTGACTGATATACAAATCAAAACAGTTGAGGACGAAAATATAGGTTGATTTTAGATGAAATAACTATGGAAGTTGGGATATATTATTTCTGAGAAACTTACTTAGTATTCTTTTACTTTGAAAAGTAATAAAATTAATTAAAAATTGTATATTTTGATTGAGAAAAATTCTTTTAAGATAACAACTCACTTTGCAAGTACTTTGAATTACGCAGAACAGCCTTATTTTTAATTATTTATTTGTGGAAATAATTTTTTGATGGAAAATTACGATTCAGAATTATAAATTAAATAAATTATTGTCGAAAATTGTAAGAAGTAAATTTTATTTTTATTGTAAATAGTACTTAGAAAGGAAAAATGGATATTTTCTTTAAACCTAATGAATCTGATAGATTTTAATATAGTGTCAAAGCTTTTGCATTAAAGGTAGAGTTCCAAAATATTATTTCATCAGTTAAAAGTCAATTAAATTGTGTATATTCTATTATAATATTAATATTCTAACTAATATTTGGTAGTTAATAAACCTTCTTACCAAATATAATAATTTTACAATATTTCCCCCCATTTTATTTACTAAAATTTTCACCCGCGATTGTCCTTGTGAGGAGCATTCCCTCTCACTCCCATTCCCATATGTTATGCCAAAAAAAGAAGGGCAAAAGCAGCCAAAGAAGGGCATTCCTACACACACTCGTCCTGCCACTCGAACTGGGAACAAAGGTCTCGGATATATATGTATATATACATATGTGCATATTGGAAGTACGTGGAACGAGACGACTTTTGATTCCTTCAAGAACTTTATTTTCTATTGCCCCTGCACTCTGTAAAAGCCATTCACAAAGGCCGGGGCCAAGTCCTTAGATCCTTTGTCCCGGTGCAGACAGTTAGAGTCAAAGATCAGCCATCCAGCTGAGTTAATTACAGCCGACAGAACTTCCACAGAGACAAGCCAGAGTCACTGACTCTGAATGGAACTCGCTTGGAGTCCTTTTTGTGTGAGTCCTCCGAAAAGGAAGTGGTGTTGTCCCAGCCTCGGGGCATTCAGCTGATCCTCAAAAAAAGGATATTTAATTCCCCTTTTTTTGGCGCGTTAAATTATTTAAATTTCAGCTGGGATTAGGTCCTAAGGGGGTTTAAAAGAAGCTATAGTATTTATGTGTTAATTTGTTTAATATTAAAATATTATTTGAAAACCAATTGAAGAATATTATTTATTAATTTCTGGGGAAATGTTAATTAATGTTAATATTTATTCCACGGAAAACAAGAAATAGTATAAACCTTTCAAACTTTGGAGTTCCTGCAGCAATAAAGTAGTTTCTTTTATTTTATAAGTAATTCATTTTAAAGGCTTTATTTTTCTATGTATTCTTGTCTTTATTATAGATATTTTTTAAAGTAAAGTAGGTTTTTCTGTATAATTCTTTCTGCATCTCTTTTCCCGTTGATTCCCTTCCGTAAATATTTTTTAGATCTCCAAAGATCCCATATAATATCTATCCATGCTCACATATATTATAATGTTCTTCTTTTAAAATATTCAAAACACTAAAAACCATAAATATAATTTCGAATTTTTTCGCTTTCCTTCCACCACAATGAACTGGAAAATCCTTTAATTGAAATTTTATCACTCTTAAGCAAACAATTGGCATTATCTGTTCCGATCTGATTATTCATGGGCTATATATGCACGCCCCTGTTACACAATTATTATTATTGACTTTCGCCGAGGCGTGTTTTCCACATGAATTATGGAAGGACAGGAGACCGACAAAAGAAGGGCAAACGAAACCAGAGCGAAATGCAAATAGAGACACATCCTTTTTCTCGGTTAAAATATGTGACAGGACCAAAGGGAGGAAGGGGTGACTTTGCTGTCGATTATGTTGTTTTAATTTAACGCTATTAGCGTGTGAGTGTGTGTGTATGAGTGTGTGTGGCGTCAGAGTCAACTTCAACCCTTAAAAGGGCAACATATATTAACCCGTATGTGTCGTGAGTTCCTAATTGAGCCCGCTGCTCCTGTCGATGTTTGACAAACGCAAACAGATAGGTTTACGAGATATAGGAAAATATATGTATAAAGATAGATAGCGCCCCTTTTAGCACCTTTTTTTTTGTGCTGTTTTTTGGGTTTGTAAATTATTAGCCTTCAAGTGTTCATGCAAATAAATAACAAGTGAATGATATTTATGGGTTTATGACAAAGAAAAGACAGTTCAAAAAAGGGATAAGAAAGTTTTTAAAGAACATATTTTAAGGGAAGAACCAAAAGTATATAAAACTTATTAAATATTTAATAAAACATTGAAAAGTTTTACTTAAGAAGAGTTACGTTAATTTAAATTTAGTATAAGAGCTTTTTTATGCAAAAGCTTGTATTTATCTCAATTTTTATTTATATAGCTCATAAAATTATAAAGAGCGTATTAAAAAACTTTCTGATAAACGCCCAGTGATGCAATATTCAAGCTTTTGTTTATAAATAAATTAATGTGTAAGTTTTTATATAAGAAGATAAACCAGTGACATGATTTTAAAGCGTGCTTTTTGCTTGAAAAAGGCAAATGATAAATCAATCAATAATATTAAGTCAGGCATTTCATTTAAATATAAATTTCTGATATATTTAATTTAAAAAGAAATATATTCTTTACATAGAAAACATGATCAAAATTATCTGACTCAAGGCAATAATTAATTCCCATTAAAAATCGCGTCACAGAATTAAATTTGTGCTAATAACTAGTGTCCTTAATATCCCTTCGCTTTCTGGCTAAAAGCCAGCCTTAATGGCCAGTATTTAAGGCCTTTCTATAGCCCAATTATCACCCAGAAAAAACCCTCAAAAAAATGCCAGATTTTCCCTCAATATAATTCAGAAAAAAAAGCGAAAACTTCCCCTTGGATAAAAAACTTTAACGACAGATACAAAATTAAGTTGCAAACAAAAAAGCCAAAAAGCCCATGTACTTGTCACCCCAAAACCAGTTTGGGGGAAAAAAGAGCAGCCAGGAAAAGTCAGGGAAAACCAGAAGAAGGAGCAGAAGTCGGGGAAAAGGGAAATTCAGCACCGGCACACTTTGCCTTTAGCTGCGGGCCAAAAGTCGTCGTCGCTTTCAATTATAGCCGTGAGTTTTCTCTGTCCCGAGAAAACACAAACACACACACACACACACACACACACACACACACTTATATAGCAAACACACACAGCTACACACAGGGCCATAAATCCACATATACACTGGCAGAAAAAGGTATAGGTATAGAGAGCCATTAGCCTAATGTGTGCTTATTGCGCACGCTTTGGAACAGACGCAGGTTGGTTTTGCAGGGAGGAGGGAAAATGCCCTGCAGAGGCAGGGGAAAATGGGGGAAAATTCAGCAGGAGAATGAGGAAAATTCCAAGCTTGATGGGGGGAGAGGGTAGGGGGGAGAAAACACACAAAGGGGATGCCAAAAGGATGTGGCAACCGCAAAAGACCCGGGTATAACTTGCCACTTTCTGTCTGACCCAACAGCAGGGGGTGGGGGCGGTGGAAAAGTGGGTGGAAAATGGCTGCGGAGGCAGAGGTTGTGGGTGGTGTCTGGGGCCAACCGCAAACAAACAAAACACTGAAGAGCAACAGAGACAGCAAAGAGTCAAACAGAGAGAGAGAGAGCAGCATCTGCATCTGTATCTGTATCTGTAAAAGTATCTCCATTGCTCTGGGAATATATATATAGAGATATATATAGCCGTGTTGCTTTATATAGCGAGTAGTGCATAATGAATGCGAAGATGTGCCCGCCCTATTATCCTGACTCCTCCCTCGATTCGTGTATCTCTGAGATACATAGCCGCATTCTGATAGGAAAAATCCAAGGGATGCTTCAAGCTCTCTCTCTCTCTCTCACTCTCTCTGTCTCTGTCTCTGTCTCACTGTCTGGCCTCTCCCTTCCTCTGTTGGCCTTGTGCCCGCAAGGATTCGAATCAGAATCACCAAGACTCGGTTTCAGATAATAATGACAGAGCGAACTGACACAGATTTCCCAACGAAAAAGAGAGACCAGAGAGTGTGAGCGAGATGGAGATGCTGGGAGAGAGGGAGAGAGAGAGCATACAGAGAGAGAGGAGATTTCATCCCCTGCTTATTATTTCTTTTTTCCTTTGGGAGAAGACACACACAGGACACAGGACACATCTGTGATCTGCGATGGGAAAGCGAGGCGAGAGGAGAGGCAAGGAGCTAACCAACCACCAAAAAGCGTATCCGAATCCGAATCCGCAGCCGAATTCCCATTGAGAAATCCGAGAGAATGCGTGAATCCTCAGTGAATGCAGACAATTTGTTCTCAGTTCGTTGCTGAGCGTGCTGGCAATCGGAATTGAAATCGGAATCGGATTCCCAGTCGCTATTTCGCTGTCGCAGTTGCCGTCGCAGTCGCAGTCGCAGTCAGCGTCTCTGCCACACACACACACACTCACACAACAAACACACACTTTATATAGTACATACTTTTTTTGCGGCGATATCGCTTCTTTTGCTGGCAGTCTTGCGAAGACAACCGGCAGATAGAGACGACACCGTGGAAGGAAAACTCTTCTTTCGCAGGAAAATCTTATATCCGGAATATATATCAAGTATACGCAGTGATGTCGTCGCGCCGCGTGTTATGAGAGATATATCTTTACTCGAAACTAACACCGCGTTGTGTTTATTGTGATAATTACAAAGTTCTTTCAAAGCGGAAACATGCTGTTCGATCGATATGTCATATCAGGTTGGTGCCAAACGACGCGAAAAAATACAAATAAATATTGTGAGAACCTGGAACTAAAGTTCTTCAGAATCTAAATAAGTTTAAAACCTTGAAAGCCATTTACAAATGGTTTTAACTTTAATTGGCGAATCGAAAGTGAATCAGAGTTTGGCTTAAAATAAGTGCTAATAGAAAAAACTGAGTTAAAAGATTGATAAAGTGATTTTAAATAAAGGAGAAGAGACTAAGGGATATTATTTGAAATAATAGAAACCCTAATTAACACTCTTTACAATCATGGAACTATGATCTTAGTTATGATTAATTCAGTATTTCAATATTGATTAATAATGATTCTTAATAAATTAAGATGTATAATTATTTAGGGAATCTTTCAGTGTCTTTAATGCTTAAATATTAATTTACTTAAGCTTTAGAACTAAGTAAAACAGGACATTCTTTGATACAGAGATCACAAATAACATTTTAAATGAAGTTTGTGGTTTATAAATATAATATTTTGGCTAAAAATAGATATTATTTGGAAGATAATATTCCAAATATATTCCTTTTTTAAGCCAAAGTCTTTTAAGAACTTGTATTTAACTTTAAAAGAATTTATTTCATGGATCTTGACATTTAATTTGCTTATTTAAGAAGTAATATCTTAAAGGATTTTACAAATTCACATTTTCTTTACTAAACATTAGAATAAAATTTTCTTTATATAATAAAAAATTAAAATAAATAATAAAAATAATAAATAGGGCAAAATAAATTCAACAATCACTTCTCTTATAAATAAAATAATTTATCCTCCATATAAAATCAATTCCTTGTTTAAAAATTCTTTTTAAAATCTCATTCTTTCCGAAAAACTTCCTTTAAAACTAATTTGTTAACAAACATTAGACCATTTTACAACACCAACTGCATCTTTCGATTAGCCAAAAAACTATTCCCCTTGGGGGAAAAACATCTTTTAATCTGACTCTAAACTTTTAATGACTAGAAACTACTTAAAAAGCGCCCCATTAAAACCGATACCTACTTATCACACGTTTTGTGGCACAAATGTGATTACCTAAAAAACAAATTAGTTGAGAGCAACAGCAGAAAGGGGAAGGAGGGAAGGGAAAAACCCCGCTGGAAAACACTTGTACTTGTGTTAACTGGCAATTGGTCTGTCCAAATAAACTCTCGAGTGAGGGCGGTCTTTTGAAGTGGCCCAAAAGGACTTCGCTTAGCGGTGTGAAGCCGGCGGCAAGATCCACAGGATGCTGCACAAACAGAGCGTGCCGGGTCGCAGGATGTGCGAAATTTGCAGCAGGTTGTTAGCAGGTTTAGCAAGGACAATTAAAGAAACACGAGAAACACCGTAACCGAAACCTCAACCGATATTTGTTTGCCCTTCTTTGTGGCTTTATTTATTCTATATATACATATATACACGGCCGATACTTATCTTCCTTCTGCTACCCTGTGGTGTTATCTGTGGAAGCGCTGTCATATTTTGTCTAACAGCTCAAATTACGATTTAGTTTCAAGTGGCCAGAACGATGTCCGATGGACAAGACAAGGGCCCCGTGGCCGTAAAGCAAATATCAATAATCGCTGGGTAATTTGTGCGTGTCTACTTATGTTCCAAACCCACCGATAATCTACAAAGGCAAAAGAGTGCTTTTTTTCAAAGTATTTTTTAACTTGACAACTTGGCAATGCCCTGGGATGTCACTTTTTAATGGGTTTTTACTAAGGTTTTCTTTATTTTACTATCACTTTTCATAGTTTTTGGAGGTTTTTAAGGTGTGTTTTGAAAGGTTCTTTCAAGGTTTAGTTTTTTACTAAGGTTTTCTTCATTTTACTGTCACTTTTCATAGTTTTTAGAGGTTTTTAAGGTGTGTTTTAAAAGGTTCTTTCAAAGTTTAGTTATTTACTAAGGTTTTCTTCATTTTACTGTCACTTTTTATACTTTTTGGAGGTTTTTTAGAAGGTTATTTCCAAGTTTTTCTAGCAGAGAATAAGCAAGCTAAGGTTTACGACTTGAATTATAATTTTTAAAAGTCTGGGATTAGTAAGAATTATTTGTTGATACTTTACAAATATTTCCAGTTATTTTTTACAGTCACTTTTAACATTTTCCTAAATTTTTAAGACATAATTTACAAAGCCTAATCTTGCCTTAATTATTTCTAAATAATAAGTTGTTCCCTGCATAATTTGTTAAGTTTCTTTTACTTTATCACCACGTATTTCTATTTAAAAGGAATATTACAAAAGCCTTTTAATATTGTCATAAGGTAACTCTACCCAAATTGCCTTTAAAATGTTTAAAAACATAACTAAAATGATCTTACAATATTTATACCTTATTTACTATCCCAAGCCTTTTATTTACTATCATTATATATATCAGAAAAAGCAGTAAAGATCTCCTTTCAATGCATTTTCCTTTTTCTACATCTCCTTATCCTTGACTCTACTGTCACTAAATTTCCCATTTAAACCCTGTCTTGTCTATTTAGAATTTAATTTAATCAGCAGACAGCAGTCGTGTCCAGCAGTCACATCATTTAAATAGTCGGAATTATTGTGTCAACAGCAGCAGAAAAAAAAGCAAACGAAATAGTTGAAATATTTTTATAGCGATATTTAAACAGATTCCGATTCTATTTGCTCAGCCTGCTCGTGAGGTATCGGATACTCCCTGTCTCCGTGAAAAAAAGGGTAGTGTCCGGGGACAGAGACACCTGTCTTTGGCCAGCAAAGATAGTGAAAGGTGTATTGTTTTGTAGATATTTCTGTCGTTTGTCGTTTGTCGTTCATTGCATTGCAAAATCACCCAGAGATAGATACCCCTTTGAGTGGTCAGTACCAGGAGGTGAGATTGTCATCTCTGGGGCTCTATTTTCGGCACTAAACTTGACAGCCGGCAACTGATTAGGATTAGTGGTCGTCGGAGAAGCCATTTCTAATCGGTATCTCTTTTTCTGTACACTCGACAGGCTCCAGTGGCGACGACTTCGATCCGAGTGCTAGTGCCGTACGTCACCATCATCACCTGGAACATCATCATCACCATCATCATCTCGATCTCAGTGCCAGGACTCAGGCCTTTGCTGGTTTACCCTTGGACCAGTCTCTCGAGGAAAGATCTCCCGCCAGGGAGGAGCACCACCAGCACCACCAGCACCACCACCGTCAGCATCAATTGCAGCAGCCACCCACGTTGCCCTTGGATTCAACGGCAACTGCCATTGCCGGCGAGTCCGGTATGGAGCACTTCTTCAAGGACCCCGCCCAGGCGGAGCAGATCCTGCAGGAGTGGGCCAGGCGCAGGGAACCCATCAGTGATCTGGATATCCGCGAAAGTGGTGTCTATGCCAAGACCTCCTTGCAAAGGGGCACCCGATACGGTCCTTTTCCCGTAAAGCTCTGCCATCAACCCAATGATGCCCAGCTGGCTTGGAAGGTGAGTTTTTACTACTTAATCATTTATAAAATATATTTTTAGGAGGGGAAAATTGTATAAATTCCTTGGGGAAAGTTGTCAAAAATAAGGCATATCAGAGCAAGCCTTGAAATAATGGAATATCTATAAATGTTGTTAGAAAAAGGGGTTCCTTTTGAATCAGCTTAAATTATATACATTCATATTTCATAGTTTATTTTATATATTTTCAAGAAAGTACGACATTTAACAGACATTTGTATATATTTTCTATCTAAATTCAGTTCAAATCTTCATCATTTTTTACCTAAAAAATCAATAGTTATTTTCCACCACAAAAATATATATATTTTCCCAAACAATCAGCCTAAAAATCCCTCATTTGATGTCCCAGAAAAACTATATAAAACATATATATAATATATATAACAGATCGAACCTTAAGCCTTTCACACGTGTGTGCATTTATCCTGGGGCAGTTTCAAATTACCGCTTTTCCGTTTTTCCTTTAATTTCTTTTTTTTTTTGGGAAACTTAATCCCATCAGAAACGTACCATATATATGCACAATTTTATGTGCGAAAATTGCACAAGAATTGCAAGCGAATTGAATCCTATTTTTATTTTTTGGGGGTTTTTCGCAGGGAAAATCAAACGATTGGAAAGAGATTTGATTAGCAGCAGAGGGGACTCCTCCTCGAGGGTATCGATTGTCAGTCAAATGTGCCTAATCCCTGGCCAGAGCTAATTTAGCCCGGCCAGGGTACCAAAAAAATATATCAAAAATCCACAAAGTGCACCCCAAATGAGGCTTAAGTCGGGGCCGGCTGATGATTCCAATTAGGGGAAAATGCTCGCCGAGGGAGAGAACCCTTCGATTTCGGTTGTCAGTCAGTCAGTCAGTCAAATGACACTTCCTCCCCTTCGAAACAGAAGCCGAGGACATAGACAATCCAATCAAATTATCGCGCCTCGTCCTGCTGACAAAATCCCTATCCTTTTTACCTACCGAATTTCAGGTATTTCTCCGTGTTTCTGCCACTCGAGCGAAAATTGCAAAAATAACACAGATCCCTTTTTCGCATTTCGGTTTCGTGCCTTTCTTTTCTGGATGATCCTCAAATCAAGCGCACTTTTATCGCTCACATTTCCGTTTTGACAGATACATTGGCTGTGCATCTGTATCTCTGCCTGATCCTCTGGCCAGGATCTGCTAGGATCTGCGATCCGTTCTGGCAATACGAAGCCAGTTCCCTTCGAGATTATCTCTGGCGCGTAAATATTTTCCTTGCCCATTGACTGTGTCGTGTTTGCCTGTGGCCTCCTTTTTAATAAAGTTATGAATAGTGGAATGAATGGGCAAAAGGACATGTGTGATGTCTGTCCGGGATTAGCGACAACTGGAACGGTTTGTCGCCCAGTTTAATCAGGGGAGAAGGATGCAGGATCTAGGAATATGTCTCAATGATATTATCACATTTTTTAGTGGCTGCCTCGGATTTCAGCTTCTTGGGTTTGAAAAGTGAGAGTTGATATTAGAAGATTTTGATTGAGATTAATCTTTAGAGATAAATATAAAGAGACGTGTGGGAACTTTTGAAAAGAAAAGTAAAAACAAGTACTTGTAGTTCAATAAATAATGTAAATATAAATATAAATATTTAGGTAACACTGTTGATTATTTATTTGCTTTGTCAACTTGCAAAAAACAGATAAGAGCTTCAAACTTAATCTTTTTTGTTTAATAAAGGGGAAAACCCTCAAAATAAGAGCATTTTAGAGGCTTTAAAAATGTATATATTAAAACCAGAAGTTCACTTGACAAATATATAATTAAATAAATTATTAAATATACTCATACATTTAAATATAAATAAATATATTTTCCCTATCCCTATGCAAGTTTATCTTTTTTTGTGCTTAATAAAGGTGAAAACCTCACAATAAAAGCACTTTACAGGCTTTAAAATGTTATATATTTAAGTCGGAAATGCACTTAACAAATAGGTAATTTAAATAAAGTAATAAATATAATAAATAAATATATATACAATTATATTTTCCCTATCCCATACCTTATTTTCTAAACTCTTTCTGTGACAAATTCTCCCTTTTTTAACAATTATTTTTTATGAGCAAAAATTCCCCCTCATTTTTAAGTAAGCCCTTAAAAAATGAAGTATATATTTTTTGCAACTATAACTTTTGCATAGGCTCTCTTTCTACCCCATTATATATATGTATATGTATTTAAAAAATCAAAACACAGACTGTGCAACCTACTTGTTCAGCTTAACCACTTTAAAAATTACACCCTCCCTGGTAAAGTTTATTTCCCTTATTTTTTTTAGCAGCATAATTTATATACATAAACTCCCATTTATTTCAATTTTTCTGCGCTCTGCGGAAGAAGAAGAAGCCACTTGAGGCGTTGTTAACTTAATTTTTGGAGCGTGCACACACATATGCCGCACACACACACACCTACCACTTAATCGCAAACTGTAAAATGCCGTTTTTCCAAATGACTTCATAGACAAGAGCCTGACGGCGGCGGCGGCGGCTTGAACGTTGCGCATACGCAAAGTCATTCAATTCAGACCACAAAAGTTGAGTTTGCTTGTTTTTTTTCGGTTTTCGAATTTGATTTTTAATTTGTGGTGTGTGTGTGTGTGTGTGCTTGTTGTGGCGTCGCCGCGTCTAAGGCAGTTTTCGCAGCAGCCGCCTGAATTATGCGTATTTTAGCCTGGCGCCCGCCTCTGCCGCTGCTTTTATTTTGTATACAAAAACTGTCGGTGGTTTTTGTTTAGTTTTTTTTCGTTTTTTTCTCCCCCATTTTTTCCCCACCTTTCCTGGTTTTTTGTTTATTATTTTTTGTTTCCCCGGCTTGCTGCAGTTGCCCCCTTTGGCTGCCGCCAGTGACCTTGATTGTGCGGTGCAGACTGGTGGGCGGCACTCTCGATGGGTGATGTCTTGCTGGGTTTTCTTTTATTAATTTTATTGGTGGGCTTATTAATTGGTTAAATATGAGAGAACATAAAAAAACATACTAGATAATTAATTTTAGTAATTGTTTAAGCATTTTTTAAAGTCTCCTCTATAAAATATTAAGAAACACAAACAATAATAGTTAAAAATACTATTAAAACTTGTTTCATGTAGTTTAAAATCTTTTTAAAATTATTTAAAGGTTGATAAAATATGTAAAAAATTTCTAAATTTTTTTTTGATTAATTAAACATTTTTATGATTAATTAAAAACAAATTTCAAACGAAAATATTTATTTTTACATGAATTCTACACGCGTATAACACTTAAGAGACCAGGGCAATGGTTTGCGTCTAGACTTAGCCGTGTCAAATAGCACAGTTACCCCTAACTAATCAACAGATGGCGGCAGCCGTTCCTGCGCATTTCTCATTACCTTATTTCATAAAATTAGTTTTTAAAATTAAATTTAAATGTATTTAAACATTTTAAAAATCGTCGAATATAATTGATATATTTTTCTTTATTTACAGGCCCATGCCGAGCACTTCAATGGCTGGCTAGAGCCCACATCCGATGTCTCCGCTTGGCTAAAGAAAATTCGCGTCATCGAGGACAGCGATATTATAGGCAAGGCCAATCTGGAGAGTTTCATTAATGGCGGTTGTGTGAGTATCACATAAAAAAAGCAGAACCCTTTGACCCCTTGACCCTTCGCTGACGCGTGCCACTATATTTTTTACAATTGTTTTTCATTATTTTCTCCCGCATTTCTGTGTTCACTTTTTAATAGCTCTATTACGAAACGAATCGCTATGTGAGTGCCGGCAGCGAAATGATTGTGGATGGTCGACCCAAGAGTCCCGTGCAGATCAACGAGAGCTTCATTTCCGGCGGCGGTGTCCTGGTCGCAGCTGCAGCAGCCGCAGCCGCAGTGGCCGCCGCCACATCCTCCTCGTCGGGATCGGGATCGGGATCGGGTTCGGGCGGAAAGAGCGGAAAGGGGTCATCGGTGCCCAGCGATGATCGCAGTGATCGTGATAATGGTGAGTTTTTAGCACAAATTTATATATTTAAATATTTATTTAGGGTTTCTGATTAGCTAGACGATTTTATTTGATTTAATTGCGTGAATTTTAAGGTAGTTTTTGTACCCTTGAAGGGTATCAAGCTTAAAACACAGTGAAGGAATCATTTCCGACCCTATAAATCATATATATTCTTGATCAGCATCGAAAGCCGAGACGATCTAGCTATGTTTGACAACAATTTAATTTTTTTCAAAATTTTCAACATTTTTTAAGGCTAAAATTTGAACATTTGAAAGTGTCAAAAATTGGTAAAAATTTTAATTCATTTAAACTTTAAATTAGGTATGCATATTTGTTAAACTAATAAAAACTAGTACAAGAAAGTTTTCCGAATTGAAATTAATGCTTTTTTGGTCCAGTTATGAGTTTTTTAAACTTTATTATGTTGAAGAAATTGTCATATAAAAGTATCGTTAAATATTGATTCAAAGAATGTGAATATATTATTAAATAATTATTTAATGAAGTTAGCTAATATATATTTAGGAATTTAATATAACTTAATGAATCTGGTTTTAAATTTTAGAGTGTTACTCATCTTAGAACTATATTTCATTCGAAACACGAACCCTTCTCAATTTTCCCTATAATATAATAAGGGGTGTACCCTTTAATTTTCAATTCCCTTAATTTGTAACCCAAAAATTGTTCAAAAATGATGTGTTAACCAATGAATAGTTAGTTAAAAATCCCCAAAGGCTCTCTTTCCTTGATTTCATCTCGATTTTAATGCATTTCCTGTGTCCATGCTGGTGTGGCTAATAAGCGCAGCTGTGGTCTTGGGCAATTAATGCCTCTGGATCCGCATCCGAATCAGGATTTTTCCGGTGGCAATGCCCGTGACAAGGCTACTGGCACGAGCGGCAACAATCCACGATGCGATACGATCTCTGGGCTTATGAGGGTCACCGAACAGCATCCTCAGCATCCCTTACCCAATATTATACATACATCATATATGAGCAGCACCCTTTTGCCTCCCCTAAGAACTGCGATCAATTTGGGCGCATGCGTCCGTGCAATATTGCGGCAACCGCACATGTTTTCATTTGTTATTAAAATGTTTGATAATTTCATTAGAGAGAGAGATCCATCAGCAAACAGAAAGAGGGGTGCCGAGATTGTGTCAGCGATATGTCATCAGTTCGGGGGATATATGTACATATATCCTGTATATATGGCACACGCTCAATTTAAGCCTAATCCTGCAACCCTGCATCCTGGCTACGTGTTTGATTATAAACATGTGGGATTTATGGACAGCTCATTTAACAGTTTTCACACTCTTCGCTCTCTGCTAATAATTATCGGGACTTTAAATCTCACTTTGAGCTTAAAATTTGAATATTTTATGAATACAAAGGCTTATCTTTGCGATCATACCAGGATTTTCCATTAACTTTGACAGTTTTTTTTTTTTTAATTCAAATTAAAGCGCAGCTAAGTCCAAGGTCTGCACAAGTCTGAAAGTCATATTTTTCCAACCCGCTTTTTCCCTTTTATAAAAAAATATTAAAAAGGACACCTGTGTATGACTTTTTAACGTATTTTCGTGCAAGTTTTCTCTGAGTTCATGCATCGCTGACCGGGAAAATTCCTTTCCTTCCCTTGACTTTACGCTCCGGCAGAAGACGAGAAGTCAGTCCACTCCAGATGTCCTGCCACAAGGATACAGGATACGGGGGTGGCAAATGCGATCACTGTCACAGAACACAGAAGTCACCGGAAAGGTGGCAGGCAGCGATCGTGAATATATAGCAAAAGATCGGGAGTTACTACTCTTTTGACCGTTACTTTTGCAGAAGGAATACCTAATGAGTTTGGGAATTTTCTGGTGGAAAATGCAAATGATAATGACCAAGGGAGGAGGCAGCTAGTAAAAGCATGGGAAAGGTTTTTGATATAATTTAATTTTAAGCTATATAAATACTATAAATTAACATAAAAACTTATAAAATACATAACAAATAATGTAGAAAAATCAATATAGCTATGAAAGTTTGCATTTACCAAGCCTAGAGACCCATTAACTTTAAAATCAAATCACTTGACTTTAATAACTCATATAAAACCCCGAAAAATCACCAATCAACTTGGTTTAAACAGACATCTCATTTCGCTAATATCAAGCTACTAAACAGCCATTCCCTCAATCACTGCCAGTAAAAACCAACCCACAAAGTTGTCAACTCCGTCAGAGCTCCAACTTCCCTTCACCTTGGGGCAGAACACAAGCCATTCCCCAAATAAAATAAAATAAAATACATACAAGTAAACGAAACCGAAACGACACTTTTGAGATGGCATTCGGCTCTTCAATCGACCAATCAAACAATGGAACAAACTACAAAACACGAACACATTCTCGCAGATACTTTTGTGGCAAGACCAAGCCCCTAAAACGAATCTAACTAAGAGATACAGATGCCGAGATACATTGACACTTTGTCGCTGCTCTGATGGATGATTAATGAGCGAAAAAATACAAAAAAACAAAACAACAAAGAACCAAACAAATAAAAAGCAGAATTAAATAAAAGGCTCGTGTCGCGGCGTGGCGTCTTCGGGTGTCACAATTTTTGGGCATCATTAGGAGTGCCGCCTAACCCTTCCTTTTTTTATTTTTAATCGATTAGCAGGCGGATCTAAGTTTGATTTCGCAGCAGCAGCAGCAGCAAGTTGTAAGGTGTAAATAATTCAATCAATCATTTGTCAACAGTTTCGGCTTCCGTTTGGCCAGCGATCGAGTCAGGGTCAGGCTTCAGGTTTCGGGGTTTTCAGGTTTTCGACGATATGTAATTGGCATGTCAGAGGAGTTAAAGAGCCGCTGCCCCGCCTCTCCATATAATCCACATCCTGAATGATGCTCAATGGATCCATTGAGATGTCAGCTGCCTCAGGGGAGAAAAGGGAGTGCAGACTCATTGGTGAAAGGCGTGAAAGGACGACTGTGTTGGGTTAGGGAGTAAAAGATGATGACAGCCAGGACAGGGACAGGGACAGGCCTAAATGATAAGGAATTGATTTGGCTTAACAGCAGACAAACAAAATTAAGGTTTTTTGATTAATTGTTTCGGCTAAGCTAAGAGTTAATTGAACAGGGATTGCTGATATTATGAAGCTTCATTTAATAGAGAAATATTATGGATGAGTAGAGGTCAAATCTGCTTTCTTTAAATAGTTAAAACCCATTACAAACAATGTTATTTCAATAGCTAAAAATAACTATATTATTCCCTTATAAAATATAGTTAAAAACTCTCTGTAAAGGTAATTTTTTAGACTTTATAACAACAAGAAGGAAACATTTCATAGATGCTTAAGTTTCATTCATTTTTGAACATTATCTAAATACAAAATTCTTAAAAATAAAGATTTTGAAAGGTTTCAAATTCCCTATTCTCTTGTAAAATATAGTTAATTTTTTAGACTTTGTAGCAACAAGAAGGAAACATTTCATAGACTCTTCATTATTTTTTAACATTTTCTTAATACAAAATTCTTAAAAATAACGATATTTAAAGGTTTGAAATTCCCTAACAAGTTATCAATAAGTTTAGCCATTTTTCTAGTATTTTCCCCGAGTTCAGCTGCCTCTTAAGCTGTCCAAGTAGGTTCCCAGGAATTCTCCCTACCAAGACCGAGCATAAGTTTTCCCAGACTTCACCCTCATTCACTCCCACTCCCACTCCAAGGCCTCAGTCACCTCATCCCGTCACCATATGTCGCAGAACCTACAGAACCTACTCCTGGAAGGAAGGATAACTCCTGCTACCCTCCCTGAATATCCTACACTTTCCCACCCAAAAACAGAAGGCAAAGTTCAAGTGCAGCCCACCCCTGAGGTTAGGAAGGAAAAGCAACCTCTTTGGACGTGGGAATCTTCGCTCTGCCATATTGCATACGCTGAAAATTAACTTTTGACCCAAAACAGCAATTACCACATATACTATATATTCTAGCGATCGCAGGAGGGGGTGGAAGAGAACCACCCCGTTGGTGGGGGGTGGCGCATTGTGCATTGCCTTGAGAGGCAACACCTGTTTGGAAGCCAGGCAAAGGCAAGGTGCCACATAAGTGACTTTGAAGCGAAATCAGTCCAATGGAACCATAGCATAGAAAAGGCAGTTCAGAGGTTCAGAGGTTGAGGGGTTGAGGGGTTGACTGCCGACTGCTGACCCCTTCGGATGTGATGTGTTTGCATGCATAATCTCTGGTCATCGTCGTCATCCCTTAGCCGCTCTCTCTCCCACTCTCTCTCTCTCTCTGTGTTTGTGTTGGTGTCACCTGGTGGTTGTCCACTCTGCCCCCACTGTCCACCCTCCCTGTGCTAAGTAGCACCCTACCCCTCCCCCTTGGTGACTAGAAGTAGTAACTACTAGTAGTAGTAGTAGTAACCTCCTTCCCAACCCCTAAAAAAAAGCGCCTCAGCTCTGCTCCTCAGCCGCTCTGCTCATATTCAACACTCATTTCCCCTAGGAATAGTTTAAAAAGAGGTTACACTGGGGGAAATAATCTATAAAAAATAATTTGAGTAAGAAATCATAAGGTTAATGTGGAATATATAAAGAAAATCAAGAGGTTAACTAATTAAACAGAGTTTAAAGAAGATAATGGTATAAATTGTTAACTAAAAATAATATATTTCATTTCATTCTTTAAATGTTAGGATAAATTTGACTTAGGAAATACTTAAAAATTATTAACATATTATTATTAATGGGAGTAAATCATAATTTCTAAAGAAAATTAAAAGGTTACCCAATAAAAATAAGTTTAAAAGAGTTAAAGGAATAAATCGTTCATTAAAAATAATATTTTTATTCATTTTTAAATTGTTAGCTTAAATTTGACTTACAAATTAACTAAAAATTATTAAAATATTATTATTAATAGGAATATATAATAATTTGTAAAGAAATTAAAAGGATAACTAAATAAAATGAGTTTAAAGGAGTTAAAGGAATAAATCGTTCATTAAAAATAATACTTTTATTCATTTTTAAATTGTAAGAATAAATTTGACTTATAAAATACTTATAAATGCACTAAAAATTATAGAAATGTTATTAATAATAGGAGTAAATCATAAGTTGTAATGAAAATGAAAAGGTTAGCTAATTAAAATAAGTTTATAGAAGTTAAAGAAATTAATCGTTAACTAAAATAATATTTTTATTCATTCTTAAATTGCTAGATTGAATTTGTTTTACAAAATACTTACAAATGAACTACAAATTATTAAAAAGTTATTATTTAATATAATTTAAGCATATTAAGAAGCAGAAAAAGTTAATTTCTAATTAGATTACTTTCACTTTTGCACTTATTAAATATTTAAGGTTAGAAAATATACCTAAAATATTTGAAAAACTATTGTAAATTGAATGTATTTATATAACATCCGAATTTCCTACAATTAATTTACCCTCAAAATTAATTCTCCCAAGAGTTTCCTCTAACTTTTCTCCCCGTGTACCTTGTGTGCACTTGGCACTCGTCGGGAGTTGGCCAAGTTAACGGAGCGGAGGGCCAAATAAAAAATAAAAAGGGGTGGAGTGTGTGTGTAGAAGCAGGGGTGTGTGTGGTGTGTGGTGTGTGGTGTGTGTCTTGCCTTTGCAGTCGCCTTTTGCTTACTTTCATTTCGGGACAATTATCTATTCAACGTCAAGCTATGCGAGTGCCATATATGAGTGCACACGATTTCGTCTCCTCCGCTACCAATTTTGTGTTAAGTGTTTGCGTGTTTACCCCTGTTAGGTGTGTGTGTGTGTGTGTGTTGGTCATATGCCAGTGCGTCCTGGCCAGAATACTAAACTAAACTAAAAAAAAAGTGAAAAAAAGGACCTGCCGCAGATTGTTAGCGGGCAAACAAAACATTAGCTCGTCGGCATTATGCTCTGCAAACGACACACTTGTTCCTCAAACGCGAAGCCGAACGGTTGTGTGTCAAGTGAGCTGACCCAAGTGATAACTTAAGGATCGAAGATATATATTATATAGAGTGATCATCATTGTGTGCTTGATATAGTGTGAGTGTTTTAGTGAAGATACTGTGAAGATTTATTATAAGAAAAGGAGTTTCTTGAGATCGGTTTAGGAAGAAGATTTTAGGTAGATCGTTTCAGAAATATTTAGGGTATATAAAGATCAATTTTATTAGTTTTTTTAAACATTTTCATTAAAGAATTTATGGCCTGAGAAATTTATGAACAACTTTTAAAAGTGTTTTAATTATTATTTTGTTTTTGGAACACCATTAAACAAGCTAACAACAAAATTTAATAAAATAGAACCAAGTTAAATAAATTAAATAATAGAATCAAATTAGAATATAAATTTAAAAGCAAGATTAAAGCAGAATTAAGCTAGAAAATCAGCTCTAGAAATATTTAAATATTTTTAGACATACTACAACTGCTTTTTAATTAGAAATCTAATTAAATCAAGGCTTTAAAAGAAAGAGCTTACTTTATATACCTTTTATAAACTACTTATAATTAAGCTTACCTAATTATTAAACTATTTTTAATTAAGCTTCCCTTACTCGCAATTAAACTAAATTTAAAATAAAATAATTATTAATATATCCCTTTAATCCTTTCCAGGTGATATTGATTTCACAGACGACGAAAACGGTTTCGACATACGCTGTGAGGTCTGTGATAAAGTCTATCCGGATTTAGAACTGTAAGTACTACTCGCTTGTTAATTGCCATTAATCAGAGCCCCGCGGAGACCGCTCTGGGACTCCTACTTAAAACCCCAAAAATATTTCGCGTAGGAGAATGTCTGCATCTCAAATTGCTTTGGCATTTAAGTAGCCAACAGCATCGGCATTGGCCATAATCTAAATCACACACAAAAAATATATAAGCCAAAAGCAAAACCAGACCCCAATTAGCTTCCAACTTACCCAAAAGAATTATGGGTGCGCAATCTCTTGAAGTGTGTTTGTAGAAGTTGAAAGAGCAAACCGACTTGAAAAAAAGATACAAAGTATCTGCAAATGTTGCTAAATGCTTTGGCTCTCTGTTGATCTTAATTAAAACCCGATGGCGATAATAGTGCGGCCAATAAAAGCGCCATTAAGGCATTCAAATCAAACGAAAGTGAGAGTGATCGTTTGGAGTCTCTTTGCTCTGGATTCCATGATTGGTTTTTTATGGTCCCAAATGTGCAATCTGTAGGTGTTAACTGTGGCTTAATGTCTCTTTGCCAGGCCAGAAATTTTCCATTTTCGTTGCGGCTTTACTTAGATTTTAAAGGCTATTTTATTTACGAGGTTTCGGTAGTCAGGGATTTAAATGAGAGATTGAGAAAATGGGAAATTTGAAAGAGTTGAGAGGGAGAAGAAAATTAAGAAAATTAATGCTGATTTTATAAAATAAAAGGGAATATGTAGAAGTCATAAGACTAATGAATTAATCTATTAAGACAAAAAACAATTCGAAATACTTCTTTGATTAAGTGTTAGGGTTAGAAATATTGTTATTGAAAGATTGTTGAAATTAGGGAATACATTATAAACATTATTATTTAAAATAAATAAATTCTGTACCTAAATATCTCAAAGAATCTTTTGTAAACTAGCTTTCAACTGTTAAAAAGCAACCAAAAATATGACTAAAATTAAACTTATAAAAGCTTAAGTATTTATCTTAAACTCTCAACATTTTCGACCACTTCAAAGGATAAACCCCAAGCGCATAGTTAATGCAAAAGTATTGTCTAATATTTACAAATGTTTTGCCTTGTAATAAACAAATGAAACCAAAAGCCACAACAACAACCAAAAAAAGCAACAATTGACACAACACGCAAATGACATTTCTATATGAGAAAAAAGGTATATATAATCGCTCGATCTAGGCCCTCGTATATATATTTAAGTTGAAGTGCTAAAAGCGAGCTTTGATTTGATGTTTCGGTCAAAGAGAGAGAGAAAGAGATGTGCTGTGTGTGTGTGTAGTTACCGTTACACGAGTGGGTGTCCCGGGGAACCCCCGCCGGGGACCGGCACTTATCAGTTTGCCCAGTGATTTATTGAATTTTACAAGAGAAGTCGAGCCAGGATGGAAGGGAAGCTATGCGAGCAATGCCTGCGTGTCTCTCTTTTGTATATATTTTTTTGCCATTTATCTGATGTCGAACATGCATGGCTCTGTAAGCCAAACAAACGCCCACACTTCAGGTTGAAGTAGAAAAAATATATACACATATATATGTATACCCAAATGGGGGTACTCTTGGAACTATCAACTCTTCCATGACGATGACAAAACAAAGAAAAACGAAAAACGAAAAACGTTGCCGCCTCTCCTGTCGACATCAGTGCTTGGTCTATATATTTTTCCCTCATTTTTTTTCTGCTTGATTTTCCTACGCCCACGAGCAAAGGCGATAAGCATCGTAGAACTCCGCCACCACGGACAATTTTCCGTCACCAAGGACGCCTTTCCCCATTGGCTGCAGCTGTTCTGCCCCCCGAAAAGGCAAAAAAAAAAGATATATATGGAGAGATCGCTTATCACCTGGCCGGGCGTATTAAATATTGAACATCATTTGACTAATTGACGCTCAGAAGCAGGGATTTCCCTTTTGCTCCCTGGATTTCCCTTCTGATAGCCCAAAGGGGGAAGGACTCTCTGGTCCCCAAACAAAGGCGTGTGAACTGCCACACATGACTTTGATTGAACCACGAAAAATGTCACAATGCTAATTTCATTTGGCGATGACAGGCCGATAACAGGGGAGGGGGAGAGGAAAAGGAAAATTAGTAGCAGTCTAGGAAATTTCCCTTAGCTTTTCCTACATTCTTTCTATTTCAAAACTAATTCCTTTCCCCTTCTTTTTCAGGTTGGATGGTCATCTGGTGGTTGCCCATCACTTCAAGCAGGACGATTACTCCTGCAAACTCTGTCCGCAACGATTCTGCCATCGTCCTTTGCTCATAAAACACGAAGCGATCTCCCACAATAATATAAGGAAATATTCCTGCGAAAATTGCAGCAAGGTAAGTCAAAGAAAATGTAACTTAAATATATAAAATTATAAGAATAAGGCATGCAATAATAAGGTTTCAAAACGAACGATTTCTTGGTTAAATTCAAAGTTAACAAGACTGGGAAATAATCTTTACAACTCAGGGAAGAACCTCTAAGTTTTATAACATAATTTAAAAGCTTAAATAGACATAAATCTATAGTAATTTCCAAGTTGAACTCAAATTTAAACCTAGAAACCCTTGATTAATATTATTCATATTTAAAACAAGCTATTGAAAATCATATAAAGTAAATAAAGTACTTCTTTTCACTCTTTCAAATCAAAAAATTGAAGCAAAAGAAGTTACTTGACAAAGAACTTATAGATTAAAAGATCATCCTCCTCTGGTGATCCATAAAACCCACCAATTTCAATGACTATAAAGAGAGAGCATCCAAAATCCAAAGCGATATAGCTTCTGTTACCGGCAAATAACCTTCGGGGGGTAAAATAAAAAAAGTTACGCCGTCATTAATTATTGTATCAGCTTTTCGGCTTCGGCTTGGCAACAAATACATTAAAAAGACTTTTGATTTCAAGCGGATTAATAGCCGCGGGCTGCTAACTTGGCTCTTAAGAGGCACCCCCTCGCAGCCCCTCACCCGATGACTCCTTTAAGCCAAGCACGCGCTCAAAAAGCCGAGAAAAAGCCAAAGAAATCAGGGCGTGTACTCTCAGCGAAACACTTAAGCGCTTTTTTTCGGGTAATGAAGAAACCCTGTCCCAGGGCCCCACTTTTCATTGTCTTCGCATTGTTGTTCATCTTCTTGGCTGCATTTGAATGCCAAAGCCAAAGCCAAAAGCGAAATTAAAGGGCTTGGAATAGAGGCAACCATCCATCCATCCATCCATCCATCCATCCATCGAATCATCCGAAACGAGATCCAAGATTCAAGATCCCAGACCCATCCATTTCATGCGTCATTGTCATCGCAACTTCGACTTCGACATCTTCCCGAGATGTTTTAATGGCATGTTGATTACGATCTTGTGGTCTCCGCTTCTCGATTTTCCCTTTTTTCCATTTCCATTTCCAAATCGAACCTCACAACGGTATTTCCATTACAGTTAGTTTACTTAGCGCTCTGTAATTGTTTCGGTGGCATGTAAGTAGCACGCATTGTGGTTCCCCTCACTCTTTTCTTTCCATATAAAAAGGGTAAAAAAAGAGCGTAGAAGAAACCCATCCCTAAACGGGAGCCACTCTGGTCCCAAAACAAATGATGATCGATCTTTTTCGGTTCCAAGACTTTCGCTGAGCTTTCAAAGATCTCTTTTTAGCCTTTGCAGCTGTCAGCTTTGTTTGTTTTAAGCAGTTGGGCTTAAAGCGTTACCAAAGGGATTTGCCACGGATCTACAAGGTTTTTTCTTCTTATTTTTCTTGGGCAGCAGGCTGAGTAGGCTCTATAGGGGTTAAGGGGTTAAATAGGCCCAGAAATGCGTGGGGTTATCTATGAAGACATGTCCATGGGGGGATAATCCTACAGGCTTTTGTAGAAGAACTGTTTCTATGAGAATTTTATAAATATGTTTGGGAAAGTGAGGTTTTTTGAGATATTTTATGTCATTTTCTGTTTAATAGTTTGTTATAAATAATTAATTTCCATAAAAGACTTATAAATCCTGGCTTAATTATGAAATTCTTTGCAATTTTTGTCTTCTTTTGTATTCTTTCTGTGTAACTTTAACCAGAAGTTTCAACTCCATTAGGCTACCAAAGTGAGATCCCATCTTCAGGCCATGCAACCGCGGGCACTGATGCCTTTGACTGACCCCAACGTACGCTCCTAGATCTGTCCCCCTCTTTCTCCCCTCTCTTTCTCTCCTGTATCTCTCTCTCTCTGTTGGTGTCCCCCTTCCATTACACATTCCATGGCAAAAGGCAGAGATCTCGTCGAGACGTCGCTCCTACCTCCTCCTCCTTCCTTCGAATGCCAAAAACACCTACACTCAACCCACTGAGGCAACAACTGCTTTTCATCTTTCGAAACACTGCAAGAAATTAGGGGTTTACTTAAGGAAATATTTCTAAACAAATATTTGAAGTAATTTTTGTTTTAAAAAGGTTTTTTCAGGGAGTTGCTTAAACAAATTGTATACAATTTATTGAATACATAAACCTAGCTCAATTATTTAAGAAGTTTCCTGGACTTAAAAGGGAAAACCTAAGACTCTTTTTAAATAAGATTATAATATTTTAAGTATTATTTTACATGTTCTTAAACTCCTTATTTAATATCACTTTAAAATAGTAAAGAAAAGGGAAAACCTAAGACTCTTTTTATATAATATTAACGGAGTAAGAAAAGGGAAAACCTAAGACTCTTTTTATATAATATTATAATTTCTTATGTATTATTTTATATATTCTTAAACTCCTTATTTAATATCACTCAAAAATAGTTCAAGAAAAATCTCTTATATTTGTAAAATATCTACAAATTTTCCTCTCTGTTTTCCCTCTCTTGTTGTTATTGTTTTTGCTGTAACACCGTCGTTATATATAAACATATATATTTTCCCCACTTTTTTTTTACTATTTTTTATATATTTTTGTTGTTGTTGTATTTGTTGTCGCTGGTCTTTTGTGGCGTTTTTCGCCTTTTTGGAGAGTAGTTGAATCTAATCCATTTGATGTAGTTATAGCACGAGCTATTCTTGTCCGTCCCAGCCTCCAGTACCGCTCCCCGCTCCCCCTCCCTCTCTCCACCCCATCGCTCCCCCCTGCTTTATCCCAACCTTTTGTGCTGCGATGGAGATAGACAAAAAAGGCTGCCTCGATCATCGTTTGATATGAATTCGTAGCGCATTATGACAGCATGATTAGGCATAACAGTTTCGTACAGCGAAGGAGATATATATATGTATATATATATATATAGAAGGCGAGCGGGGGAGTCGAACTGCTGACCGAAATCAAGTTTGAAGTGGGTACAAACACACACACACACACACACATAGCTCCAAACTGGATGCCAGGCTGCCTCCGCTCCCCCTCCTCCTTCTCCTCCCCCCGGCAACTGGCCCCTAATCCTACACACTGAGAAGCCTCATGGATCTGTCATTGCTACATAAAAAACGCGAGCTTGGGCACAGATTTAGGGCTGCTTGCACTTTATATTTGCAAAATGTATTAGTTTTATAAAAAAAGGGAATTTTTATAGCTTATTTTACTATTTTTATATAATTTATAGGACTTAAGCCTTGAGAAAACTCTTATAATAGATTTAGATAGAGAGAAGAGAATTTTTATAGCTTATTTTTATTATTTTTATATAAATTATAGGACTTAAGCCTTGGGAAATCAATTAAAAGTTCTGTACAAAGTCATTTAAGGAGAATTTTTCATTGGTCAACGAAAACATTTATTCTTTGTCACATTTTCTGATAAGAACTATACATTTTTTAAAGAAAATCTTATTTATTTTATAAGAAAATTATAAATAATATTTATTATTTTCATTGTTAAATTAAAATGTATTTCTTTATCACATTTTCTGATAAGAACTATACATGTTTTAAAGAAAATGTTATATATTTTATAAGAAAATTATAAAAAATATTTATTATTTTCATTGTTAAATTAAAATATATTACTTTTTCACATTTTCGGATAAGAACTATAAATTTTTTAAAGAAAATTTTATATATTTTATGGGGAAATTATAAAAAATATATCCCCTTGCTTTTTACCATCGAAAATCATTTAAAGTTTCCAAGGTTTTCTCCTCCTTTACAATTTTCGCTTTATACCTTTTGAAAACCCTTTTTCTATATGCTTTCTAGACCTCTCATTTTCTAAGTAAAAACATATATTTAATGTTATTTAATAACTCGATTCCCTTCACTTTATCAAGGGCTTTGTCCATTGCCCAGCCCTGAATTTGATTCACAACAAATTCCGGTGGCCATTCGAGAGGCGAGTGTGATGGATGCTTCGAAGCTGCGAGAGGCAATGACAATTGTAGCAATTGATGTTAATAATTGACGAAGGTGTTCGTGGGAGGAGATGCTGTGTTGTTATTGCTCCGGTTACCTTTGCGTAATCTCGGAGAGCTTCGGAGTCGTCGATCGTCGGTTATTGTCTAGCCAAAAACAGATCCGTTTAAGCGGCAAAAGCTACGCAGCCACCGCCAAATGATTGATTAATTTCAGTTTCATTTCATTTCATTTTTGGAACCAGATCAAAGCCAACCAGTTACCTATTTTGTACAGTGCAAGAAAATGCATACATTTTGTATGAGAATTTAAATAAATTATGCTAGCAGAGAGTATATTTTAAAGCGGAAATAGTTGAAGATATACTATAACTTTTGTAAACTTTAAGCTTTATATAAACCCTTTTTGTACCTAATTTTTTGTAGTGTAACTTTTATATTTATTCCTCCAACCAATCACAACCAATCTGAACTGAAACTTGAATCTGTATTTTGCAGGTTTTCTGTGACCCCTCGAATCTACAGCGTCATATTCGCGCCTACCACGTCGGCGCTCGGTGTCACCCTTGTCCGGAGTGCGGAAAGACTTTTGGTACCTCGTCGGGATTGAAGCAGCACCAGCACATCCACAGCAGCGTCAAACCCTTCGCCTGCGAGGTGTGCTCCAAGGCGTATACGCAATTCTCGAACCTGTGCCGCCACAAGCGGATGCATGCCACCTGTCGCATGCAGATCAAGTGCGACAAGTGCAACCAGAGCTTCAGCACCATCACCTCGCTGACCAAGCACAAAAAGTTCTGTGATTCGACGGGCTCGTACCGCCAGCAGCAGCATCAGCAGCAGCATCAGCAATCGCCGCTGAGTCGCCACCATCCGCATCCGCATCCGTATCAGCCGCATCCGCATCCGCAGCATCCTCACCAGCATCCGGCAGCCGCCACAGCCACATCCGGTTCTGCAGTGCCAGCGGGAGGAGAGTCCACGGGAGGGAGTGCCACCTCGTCGTCGTCGTCCGCCACCGCTGCCGTTGTTGCCGCCATGTCAACGCCCCCCAATCCCTTCCTGATGTTCCGCACGGGAGCACCGTTCTTCCCCGGCTTCCCGCCCTACGGCCTGCCGGGCATCTTCCCGCAGAGTCCCCTGAGAGCCGCCAATTTCCCGCTTTTCTTCCCCAATCCCCCCATGGATATGGGCTGTGGCATGCCTGGCATGACCTCGCCGAATTCCGCCTTCCGGCAGCAGTTGCCCTTCGGCATGGCACCCATGGAGGGACAGGGAGGAGGAGGAGGTGGCGGTTCACCGCCACACCAAACGGATGCCCAGGTTAAGGCCGAGGAGGAGGAGGAGGAGCACAAATTGTCGGTCAAGTCGGAGGACAAGCTCAAGAGAGAACGCCTCCTGAATGTATCCGAAGGCGACGATGAGGAGGAGGAGGAGGAGCAGGAGGAGGAGCAGGAGGAGGCTGAGAGTCGTCACAGCAACCTAGAAATGATAATCAAGTCGGAGGAGGAGAAGGAGGCCAAGGTCAAGAAGGAGGAGAAGGAGGTCAAGGTCAAGAAGGAGGAGAAAAGCGAAAATCAAGACGAGATAGAGTCAGAACCGGAGAGACTTGACAGTCCCGATCAGCAGCAGGTGGAAGATGATAGGGTAAGTATCCTCATAACCTTGGATATCCTCTTATTCCTTAAACTAATCACTATATTACTTTTATCTCTCTTTTGATCCCTAGAAATCCATTGATATTGTGAGCACACCACCGCCCACGGATACTCCTACCGCAGCCGGAGGCGGAGGAGGCGATGCCCCTTTGGATCTCTCCATTTGCCGCAAACGCTTGTCCGGTTCTTCCTTCTTTCCTGCCCAACCCGGAAGTCCTAACCTGCTCTCCTCCAACCTCATGCGTTTCCTGCCCTCCACCAGGACCGAGGAGGATGAGACCGATGGCGAACCGCCGCTCAAGATGCGCAAGTCCCACAGTTCCGGCGAGTCTTCGACATCGCAAAAGTCCTACAAGGGCAGTAGTCCCACGCCCACAGCCTCGCCGGGCCCAACACCCTCACCCTCCCCGCCCACCAGTGCCGGTGGCGAGCTGAGCAGCATGTCCGAGGGAGCGGGAGTGGGTTCGGGGGCAGGATCAGGTTCCGGATCTGGATCTGGTCTGGCTGCCGCAGCGGCAGCAGCAGCAGCAGCCGCGGCCGCCGGAGCCGCTGAGGCCGCTCTGGCGGCCCATTATAACCGCCAGAATCAACCCCTGCATCCGATGATGCTGGAGGAGATTTATCGCAGTCGGTTTTCTTTTTTATGCCCAGCGGGCGGACGGCCCGGCATTGAGGCTTTGCTGGCGGGAGCCGCCGCCGGCGCTGCCTCAAAGCGGCCGCTTCCGCCCGTTAAATTCGGCACAGGGGCAACGGGCGCCTCCTTGGGGCATCCCCTGAAGACCAAGGATCGTTATACGTGCAAGTTTTGCGGCAAGGTGTTCCCTCGCTCCGCAAATCTCACGCGGCACCTGAGGACGCACACCGGGGAGCAGCCGTATCCGTGCAAATACTGCGATCGGGCCTTCAGCATCTCCTCCAATCTGCAGCGCCATGTGAGGAATATCCACAACAAGGAGCGACCCTTCCGGTGCGAGCTCTGCGATCGATCCTTTGGCCAGCAGACGAATCTCGATCGGCATGTGAAGAAGCACGAGGCGGAGGGCAGCAACTTCCGGGATTCGCCCAGTTCCGCCTCGGGTGTGGCCGAGCGGGAGGAGTATTTCGATGAGATCAGGACCTTCATGAACAGGGTCTACACACCGAATAGCCTGGCGGGTAATGAGGGGGACACCGAGGAGGATGATCAATCCTCTGTGATCCTGGAGAAGTCACACCTCAACCACAATAACAACAACAACAATAGCAGTCACATTAGCAACAATAATCCCAAGTTGCTATATTCGTGAGCTTGAAACAGAAGAATTTGAGGGAAATCTTTAGGGAAATTTTGAAGAGAAACTCAAAGAAGTCCTTGAAGAAAAGCATGAGGAAAAACTTACTTTAACTCTTACTTAAGCGTGCCTCCGAGAGGGAAACCTATCTCTAAGTAGTTACCATTTTCCACTAAAAAACTAAAACCACTAAACATTAGCTATGCAATCAATGGAAAAAGACGGTGAAGCATCAAAACATAAACTATATAAAAACACACACACACCAAGCTCTATAAACTATATACTTAAAATATATATACATATAATATACTTAAACCACCTTAACTGTGTAGCTAATTAAAAAAATATATAATAAAACATTTGTACATAGACATATATATGCCAGTCTTAACTTCAACTACTTTGGAACTTTGTGGATTATATATATATATATATAAAACTATATGTACTATCTATGTATATTTGGATATTTTGAGTGTGTATACATAAATCTATCATATGGTATAATGTAAATCTTATGTACAATGTAAGTCGTAACATATTTATAGAGCTAATTAATGCAATTCTCAAGCAAAAAACACACAAATCCAAAATTAAACCGAAAATCCATTTTATAACATTTACTTAACGTTTAATTATATTATTATTATTATTATTAAATATATGAGAAATAAAAAACAAAAAGATCGTTATGAAAAATGAAAAATCAATAAATGAAACAATCACATTACATTTTTTTGGTGAGTTTCTTTAATGAAGTTGGGGGAATTAGGAACTATTATTAAAGAAAGAAAAGCAAGGTAATTGTTTTAGAGGAAATCTATACATCTTTACATGTTAAGAATTCCATGTAAATTCCCCAAAATTTCTCAATATAATTTATAGCATCTTCTTTCGTACAACCCATACATCATGAAATAAAAACCGCAACCAAAGTTTTGTGGGCATAATAAAGCCATTAAATGAGGTTGGCTCATCTACACTCAATTACCGCATAAAAGAAGACTTTATACACCCATCAATCCTCTCCACAGACCCCAAAAAACACACATACATAATTGTGAACGAAGGCATTTGCCTATCTATGTATAAGCCAACTTGCCCCGGATTATTAATCATCCAAGCAGTGGCATAAATAGGAGGAGATCGGAGCCAAGAAATACGCAACGGAAAGCCAAAACTTATAGCTTTTTAATATACCTACAGACATCCATCCCCGATCTCTTCCCGATCTCCGATCTGAATGCAAAGGCGTGATCGCAAAAGCGAGTTAATTACCCTTCCGGTTTAGAGTGTGTTACGCCTTTGGCGAAATGCGGTTAAAACTATATGCCGCCGATCTATCCATGAATACTTTTTCATTTTTTCCCATTTTTGTGTACTCTGTCTTTTGTTTTTAACTGAATTTTAAATTGTATTAGCCGGGGCACTCCGCCATTTGGCATCAATCATTTTTTGCTATTTTTTAGTGCTTTGTTTTGCTTTATTTTTTGTATATTTTCAACCTGTGCATAACCATCGTTCGACCGTTACTCGAGTGGCATATCGCCGTGCACAAAAGATCAGTCAAATATCTGCGGTTCGGTCACTTTCGATTATGCGAAATACGCCTGGCAGTCAGTCGGTAGCCAAAATAATAATCTTCGGCCACAATTGGAGTCAGGCGGAGTCAACTTTGGGGTATACACAGAGAGAAAATTGAGGGGGATATGAGCTGATAATTTTTATCGATTAATTTGATCGATTTTCACTATTTTTAAACCCATTAAAGAACAGTTTTGGCATAGGTTTAAATGATAAATCTGTTGAACTATTGACTGTAATTTCCTTTTTGGGTCTCAAGAAAACATTTAATATATTCATTTCTTAAATTTATATATTATATACAATTTAAATATTAAATATATAAATTTCGTGGGTAAATCAAAGTTTTAAAAAACCCATAACTAAGCCTAAAATGTATTCATTTCAATTCGGAAAGCAGTTCTGTGTTAGTTTTTAATCATTTAATAAATCTGCATACCAAATTTACAAATTTTAAAGAATTCAATTTTTATGATATTTTTTTTACATTTTTAATGATGATTATCCCTAAAAATATGTCGATAAAAATTAAAAAAAAATTTTTCCTGAGGAACATAGCTAGATCGTTTCGGCTGTTCAAGCTGATCAAGAATATATATGATTTATGGGGTCGGAAATGATTCTTTCACTGTTTTGCAAGCATCTGAATAAAATTATGGGTATAATAAATTTCCGTTCTAAAATAATATCTTACAATATTAAATTAACATAAAAAACATTAAAACTTATTTATAAATTTAGTTTTAAATTAATTTAAGGAAATTTAGACCGTTAATTTTATCAACTTACATTTTAAACTCGCCGTTTTGACCTGAAAAAGTATAAATTTGATATTAGTAAAAGGAAATATCTAAGCAAAATACCTAAAAATATAATATCCTATCCTAAAAATATAATATCCTATTATATTATTATTTAATATTATATAATATCCTATTATATTTTTCTATAATTTTATTTTAAATTTGTATTAAATATGCTATAATTTCTTCTAGTATTATCTTTGTAAAATTCTTGTCTCTCTGTATTATTTAACGTTTATTTAGATATTTATTTCCGGTGCACTTCCCGCAACTTCCCCACCTTGTTTGGCCATGGCTGGCGTCTGTTGGCCCTGACCACAGCCAACTTCCACAACAACTTCCACAAATTGTGCCACAAATTTGAACGCAAAACTGGCCAAATTATGCTAAATTTGTGTGGAAAACAGTAGATAATTGGTAATTGGTTTCCCATCCAGTCTCCTGCCGCCCTGCCGCGATAGAATCTAGACATTAGTCGGCTATTTGGTCACAGTCTCCGTCGGCGTTAATTGAAGAAGGCATAATTTGCAGTTCAGTGGAACAGCCACTCGCTCAGATGATCGAGTTCTTGCCCAACATGTTGGCCAATTATATTTGGGGTTGCCAATATCATATATATACTATATATAATAGTGGTTAGTGGGATTCTTTATGGCAGCTCAAGGAGACTCGACCGATTAAGACATTAATATTGCTCTGGGTTTATTGAAAATATTTAGAGGGGGTGAGTAACTAAATGTGGGCTAAAAATAGGTAAAAATTATAGTTAAACCATATAGTTTTCCTTTTAGGAAAACCTAGAAAGGCAGCCCCCTTTGGAAAGGTCAAGGAATGTGCCTTGAGGCTTGGTCAAGTGCTTTTCCACACCTTTCTAAACCGAAATGCTTTTTAATATGATGATCCTCTCATAGCCCAGGAATTTTCCCAACTATCTCTCCTAGTAATTTCCCCAAATCCAGAGCTGTAACCTTATTGGGGTCACTCACACCTCGCTGATTACAGAGGAGTACAGCAGCCTGGCCCAGGGATCCACCCACTTTCTGGCCATCCCAGAGAGTCTTTTTTCCGTCCAAATGAGGCAACACATTATGATAACGAGCATGGCTAAAGCTAAACCCAACGGTGGCCTGGATCGAAATGTGGAAATTCGGGAAAACCCGAACGAAGGCGATCCATAACGCCCTGACTAAGCAACTGTTGATTATGTGCCAGTTGCCACAAATGGCCATTGTTGCGCCCCAGTTACACGCCCCGAAGAACCGAATCGAATCCAGGGGATATATCGTAAGGTTCGAATGTGGTTCTACACCGAGGGAAAATGGGGGGTCAAAAAGAACTAGTTATCAGAGGATTTTCATGGATACATTTCAAGGAGAGAGCTTTTTTAGTAATGTTAAAATATATGTTTAACAAGATGTATAAAGAGAAGTTTTTGTATAATAATTATAAATATGCTTTACAGATATTATAATATACAACGTTTTTCTTTCGTATATTGTATATCGTAAGGTTCGAATGTGGTTCTACACCGAGGAAAAATGGGTATCAAAATGATTTAGTTATTAGAGCATTTTAATAGATAAATTTCTAGAAGAGAACCTCTTTTTACTAATGTTAAAATAAATATTTAATAAGTTGTATAAAGAAAAGCTTTTGTAGAATAATTATAAATATGCTTAATAGATATTATAATATGTAACATTTTTCTTTTGTATATTGTATATCGTGATTATATATGTGGCTCTACACTGAGGGAAAAATGGGTATCAGAAAGACCAAATTATCACAAGTTTTGAATAGATAAATTTCGAGAAGATACTGATATTCAAATAAATGTTTAAAAAGTTGTATAAATAGAAGCTTTTGTAGAATAATTATAAATATGCCTAATAAATAATATATTCTTAAATATATATATATTATATTTATATATATATTCTTTTGTTAATTAATATTTGTATAATATTCTAATGACAATAAACTCTATGAAACGTAGCTTTGTTTTAAAGTTGTAATCATATATCGAAGTCAAATTTATTTCTGACTCTTTTAACACGTAAATTGTTTACAATTATATCCACAATTTTTAGGAATTAAATCAGAAATTTAATTAAAATTTTTTTCCAGTGCTTTTTTGGGTGGAAAAGCGCATCAGTGCGCACATTAGGAACGATCGTTAAATGCGACTTTCGAAAGGCTGGGCACAGAAAATGCTAACTTAAACGGATGCAAATGTAGACACAAGCCAGAGTTTGAAGGGAATGGTAATGGGAATGGTAAAAGGGAGGAGGGGGAAGGGAGGAGGGGGGCGGCAGGAAAGCCAAGTTGGCCACGTTAATGGCACAATTATGGCCAACGAAATCGGGCAAAAAGGGAAGACGTGCAAAGCGCAGAGCACAAACAGAATCTAGCCGAAGGATATCACGCGTATCCCATTGATCCATGGATCCCATGAAGACCCACATAGCCCGGGACGCGGTTAACTCCAGCTAACTGTAGTTCATAACTTGGCTAAGACCGAGTTTGGGGGGCTAAAACTAAAGCTGAGCTGAGTGATTGGCCAGACTTTTATGCTTTCCAAATGAACTCACCGAAAGTTGACTTACTTTGGGAATTCATTAAAGGTTTAGGGAGTATTGAAAACTTCATAAAAAGTATATATCTAATTATTTAAAGGGAAAAATTCACGTGACCTTAAGTTCTGAAGATTCTGTAAGTCTATTAATATTCAATTTGCTTCTCTTTTTGCTTTCTTAAGACTCCTGAAGAACCCTATGTGCAAGTGCATTGAATATTCGTCTTAAAACTCTTAAGATTATACTTTCCTGGCACTGCATCCAGGGGGCAATCAGTCAGCAGATGTTTTCATTTCCTACTCGGCCATCGGCAGCCGCAGAAACGTAAGACAACAAAAAATAAAGTTAAGTCTGGAAAAATCAGCCAAAGGTACTCAAGGCGCGCAGATGTTTGGCACAGTTTCGTGTGG